TGTAATAGTTTTTATTTTGAGCAAAGGCGCTTCGTTTGAAGTGAGATATACGGTTTTGAATTCAACTGTAAAAATCGGCGGAAACTTTCCGAACAACCGAATATGTGGTCGCTGATCATATTGTCACAGTTTTACAGTTGCTGCGGTGAAGCTGAAAGGCAGGTAGGGAGTTGAGAAAAAACAGTCAAGGCTTCGTTGAAGTGTCATTCCGAGGTTGCCATGTTTGCACATACTATTTATTATACTCGAGGTCCACTTTTTCGTGCATACTTGAAGCTTCACAGATTGATTATGGATTCCGTGTATGACCATTTTCTAGGCTCTCACAGTGCAAGCCATGGTACCAATAGTTTGCTATTTGCCCATGGGTCTCTTGGCATTATTGTCCAGATATACCGGAACAGATGTCCTCATCGAGTATCTTACCGTTGCTCTTGTAACGATGCCATGTGTAATTGATCCTTTATGTGCAATATATTTTGTTCCATCATACAGGAGATGGGTCATGAACAAATTTTGTGAGCGAATCACACTTGTAAAAGTGCACTCACAAACCACAGTTGTAACCGCCTCACAAGGCCCGCTAGTGTTTTGAGAAACAATTCCGTAGAACCCTAGCCGCCTGTGGAATTCGATGATAGACTTCGTAAGGACGAAAAGGTTTCCCCGCTATTTACGAATAATCCGATCAATTTTTTGGGGAAGCGAAGGTTCATTCAATCCAAGCCATCGGAATCTCATCAATATGCTGTGAATAAGTGCAGTCAAGAAGTTGTCCAACAAATGCGAGAGTGACGTTCGGAGCAGAGCATTTCACACAACGATAAGAATTTCATTTTATTAAAAGCGTTTGCAAGAAGAAAGTTACTGCTCCACCAATAGAAATTCGGCGTTTGGCGCGGCACCTTACTCATCTGTGACTTAAAGAAAATGACACACGACCTTGGAATTCCCTTTTGTTCCTTTAGCTTGCTCCTAAAACTGAACAAAGTTTTCTGAACTAGGTGGAATTGCTTCTTCTGAAGGATTTTGATGAAGTTAAATACTTGTCGCGATTTGAAATGGCGCTTAGTCACTTGTGCGAAAATGTCCCCCTCCCTCCTTTCCCGAAAGAGATGAATGTCGATCAAGGCGAGTACAGCGACGATACTAGCACAAAACCGAACTACGCGATGTTTAGCATATTTTTTTTACGAAATACAGGAGTAATAGTGCAGCTTCGATGAATGCATGGTGCCAATAAATTGCGCTATTGGGCTTTTACAGGGGCTTTCACAGGGCTTTTACACATTCAACCACCTTGTCGAAATTCTACTTCTTGTTCTGCGTCCCTAGCGAGCTCGACCACTCGATTACCTAAAGAAGGAAATGGCAGTGAGCGTTATCGTATCCTTTTTCAAGGACATGCGTGACAAATTTATGCACAAAAGTACAATGGGCCTGCGCTTGTGATTTACTCCTTATCCATTGTATCTTCATTTCTACTTATCGAAATGTGGTGGGTGAAGTCCTATGAAGTCTCTGGGCTTGTGATTGTATGATCCTAAGTGCACTAGCTTTATACATGTTCCTCATTTAAAATGTTTTCTGTAGCATCACAGCCTCACAAGCAGGGTGAAAATCGTGTCGAGGACGTGGTCGCAGAAGTACGACCCCCCCCTGAAATCGAGGTCTAGGCACGACCCCCTTAAAACAGAGCATACGCAATTAATTAACCAATTAATCAGAAAAATTCCTGCAAAATAATGTTGTAAACGAACCTTAACCTTCCCTTGTCATCTGCACTTTCTTTCATCGCTGCACACTTTGTACACTATTGCTGAAATAAGGCTCGAGGAAAGAGGCATCAGCTTTGTATGATTTCAAAGGCAGGGTTTCCAAAAATACACAGAAATCCTCAAGGCAATGGTTGTGATTGCATCTTAATTCAGCTTGTCACATATCACATATCACAATGGCCGAGTGCGTCGTTTAACGGCCGATTCAAGGGAGCTGAGGCGTGATTTGTCCCCCCTGCCTCAGATTTTGCTGCAATGCCGAAAAAACGAACCGCTCGAAATCTAACACCCTCGATGAAATTACGTCCAGTACTTAACAGTTCCCACCTTTTGAACAATACGCGGTAGGGTTTTATAGAGCTTAAATTTGATACTATCAGGCAATATTAGAATTACTATGAAAGCCTTCCATTCGAAGAGATATAGTCTCTCAAAAACCGTCGAGGGAGCGTCGAGGATGCTGAAATTTTCATGCTAGTTTTTGCCACTTAAAAGGCAATATATCTCTCCTAATTGCGCAAGAACGTTGAAAAACGAAGACAGTTTTGGGAAGTGGAGGGTTTGCGCTTTCTAACAGTACTTTTAACTTCCTTCTAAATTCTCTAGTTGAGGTGATATTCGCGTCGAGGATCTTTCAAGGAATGATTCGGCCGCTCAAAATTCCGCTCCCTTTTCGCCATTGCAGGTGCGATTCGTGGCAATGCTCGAAATGTGTCTAGAATACATTCGTTCAAGATAAGCAATAAGAAACGAGGCAATCGTCATCATTTGATTTTGTCTGGGTATAGGCCATGCAATCAAATTTGCAGAATCGATTGGAAGGTGTCATAGTGATCAATTGCCAGTACAAGCTGCATGCAGTAAACACATTTGTAACTACTATACTCTGAGGAACAGCTCTAATTTTGTTCTGAGGCCTTCTAAAACTATTGTAGTTTCTGCTACAATGTCCCAGTCTGTAACCACAGCGCTATTCACAACGAGGTATAAAGGGCGAGGGAGCGGGCGGCATTTAAAGGAGGTGCCCTTATAGCGCGTATGCACGTGTGACCCCGTCCTTTGCTGAGACGCACTTTCGTTCCTCGTAGCTCTCGAATACCTCCTTTCATGAAGGTAGAAAATGCAGCGCGAAATATACCGCCAAACAGAATAACTATCACTCCATCGATATCCTCACATAAGGGCGGAAGTGGTGTAGTGACAAGTGGCGCGCTCACCACGCGAGCGGTCCGGGATCAAATCCTGGGTCGTGAGTCGCCCGGGCCAACCAAGCCTTCCATCCCTCCGGGGTCGGTTAATTGGTACCAGACTTGTCTGGGAGGATAAAAACACTGACTTGAACATCGGCTGGCCCCCGCAAGTCATTGTATAGGCCACATCGCATTCAAATGCCACTGCGAATGTACAAATGGAAGTAGAATGCGTGCCGCATCCCAAAAAGGGATTGATCAACGGCAAATGCTTTATCCTTTTTTTTTATTCCTTTCTTCGCAATCAACAATTCGCATTTCTCCTATCTCTATATCTAATCCCCTCTCTACTCCTATCTGCCCACGATGCAGGATTGTTAAATGACCCACTCACAAGTAACAACCCCCGTGACCAATTCGCCTGACAAGTACGAACGAGAATTCCTCGACCAGATATTCACCCCGCGGGTCCTGCTATACAGTGTATTGTGGCATCCTTGCTTAACAGTTCGATAAGTTTGATCTCTGTTCTGCTACTCGCTTTCTGTTCGCCATTCATCTCATAGTACCTTTTTAGCCCTATCCGTTTCCTATCACTCTTTTTCAGTATTTGTCTGTATGTGATTTACCCTATTCTGTGGCATAATTGTGCAATTGGTATTGTTTTTTGTTGTTCAAAGTTAACCTGAAGAGAGCTTTGTGTCCGAAACGATGTAAAGAGAGCTCAAACGGTTGTCAATAAAGTTCGGGATCGTTTTAAACAAAGTCAATAAAGGAAGGCCTCCATTGTTTAATAAAGTTGCAATAAAGATTTCTATCGTCTATGTGTAGCAGCCACGATTTGAAAATCTATTAAAAAGATGAAAAGTGGGTTGTTATCAGTAAAGAGAGCAATCGAACCTCTTGCAAGCACGCCTCCGCCACAATGAAATCAATATCAGTCGCATACCAATTCCGCTCCCCGCCGTACGCCGTCCGCGATATCCCAAGTGCATCTTTGCCTTTCCGCTGTGCTCACTTTCCCTTCTGTGAAACCACCATCAGGTGAAGGGAAATTTCTGTACTGCCATAACAAGGTCTAGGGAAGTTCTGGACGCAATCAACACATCCATTTCGGTGAAACGTGACAAGCGTTGATTTTTGCCACATTATGTCGCCCGGGGACTGGTTTGTCTCGTTGACTGTCCTATCAGCTCATTTTGCGGCAGACAGCAGATATACCAACCAGCGACTGAGCGAGAGTGCGAAGCCAACCGCTAACAAGCCTGAGGTCCAGTGCTAACCTAAGCTGACATCTAGTGCATCATCCGTAGAACGTAGTTACACTCCTCCTTCTGCTACCTGGTACATCTCACGTTTGTGACATATGCGTTATATTTGCCTTGAGTGTAGAGCACAGTGGAAGACATAAAACTTTCACAGGAAACAAATTTTCCGATCGCCGCCGGTTAGTAAAACTGGCACATGAGCATGAACTCGAAAAATTGTATGGGTAAGAGGCGATGCCGTAATATGACAAATGTCTATCAAAAGGCTGCCTTATATGTGAGTGAGGTCTGAAATTGTTAATTAGGATATTTGCACATTCAGTCAGGGTTTGAGGAAGATCCAAAAGGCTCTGCCTAAATGCATAGATGTCTTTTCGACGCTGAGGCTCCTATGCTGTCAAGCCGACAACACAACCTTGTGAAAAAGTTGTTGTTGCTATGGAAGTGGTGGAGCCTAGTGCTCAGTGGATAGTTACTTTGCAGTGCTCCATGATCAGATACCCCACCACCAAACACGTATTAGCATGCGATTGAAGTTGATTTTTCGTTGTTTGTTTCCATTCACGGATTAGATTGAATAACAAACTTCCCCCATTTTTGCACTAGCATACACGCAGAGTACGTGTCGTAAACTGTGAAGTGATAGATCATGGCTATGCGTCAACGTCGTGAATCCTGGTAAATCCGCTAAAGGTGAAACTCCAGTTCGGGGGGGCCACTCCATTGCTATCTTATCCGTAGTACTAGAGAGCAGTTCTTTGGGCTATCGAACACTACGGATAAGATAATAAGTGAACGACTCATTTCGAGCGTACTTTTGATAAGGACCGGTGGATGTCCTACATTCCACACTACCTGCCCACATCCCATCCACTTTTCTGCACAGGTGATCCACCCTGGAGCTCCTGCACCCTTAGCCCTTTGCGGAGGTGTCCTTTCTCCTGGTCCAGGACCGTTCCCTTGGGTCATGGCAGGCGGAAATGTGAAAACGTTTCAGGGTTTCTCACCCATTACACCACCCCGGGGTGGCAATATATTCATCTGGGACGGTAGCAAAGTACCCTTAACTCGCAATCAGAAGTAACGATCGGAGATTCTAAGCAAAGAATAAAGAATGGAGAGTGCGATCCAGCCCAGATCAAGCAAGAGCTTCCTACTTTAGATTTCAGACGACAAAATATCAGGAAACGAATAAATAAGAAAAAAAAGGTTG